AAAATGTTACAAAAAAAAAAAAAGGCTTGTACTATATATAAGCAAGTACCAAAGTGTTACTTAAAAGCTTTTTTGTGAATATTTGTGTTTAAGACTTGCAGCAGTTTCACAAAAGGTAACATGCATATATTCTGAATGAACTAAATCCATGGGTACCTGTAACAGTTTGCATGTATACAACTGTATATGTTTATTTCATGGTCCATGTTTTCAAATATGTTTTTCACTTCCAGGTGCTCAGGGAGGGGAGGGTCTGACAGTAAAGGAGTGGGGGGAGGGGTAAGGGGGCATCAGTGGAAAGAAGTTGGAGCAGGCAGAAGGTAAGGGGGCTACTGGACCCCCCCTAGATTTATTTTCCCTGCTATAGTAGTGTGAGGGGGACAAATTCAAAGCAAACCCCCATTATAACAAACTTATACATTTTCCATATATATATACATATAATTAACTATTGCAGGGGGGTAATTTTATATTTAGGAACATCTTATATTCAAGTAAATACAGCAAATTACAAGGGAAAATTTAATGACACACTTCTCTTCATAAAAATGAAACGGGAAAGGAATATGTTTTTCTAGGAGGTGCATATGCATGGCGTGTGTTGGCAGTGGATAAGGGCAGGGAGCAGATATTTGTAATATTTGATGCAACTATCTAGATTTTAAACTTTAAAGGGTTTAAAAAAAAAAGATTTTAATGTGAAAAAACTCCAACACTCTTGGGTTTTCCAACCTTTTGCAACAAAACTAATCTGCCAGAGACTGCACCACCAGTAGAAAACACATTGTGGTATACACAAGCAAAAACTCGACATGAACAAACTGAGCAGTGCTGAGTATAAAGATATAAAACTTTAGGTAGTCTTACTGCCAGAATACTTCCCCCAGCCAGATGAGTGGCATTCCCTTTTTCCTTGACAGCAGTATGCCTTGAATATAGAAAAATGCTCGATATAGTTTTGCTCTCCATTGTTCCATTAGATTTTACCACATCTATGGTTATCCCTTTTGGTAGGCTTCCCTCCCATCCCTTGAGCCATGGAGGTTTTCTTTGAATTTGTCCCCCTCACACTACTATAGCAGGGAAATAAATCTAGGGGGTCAAGTTGCCCCCTTACTTTCTTCCTGCTCCAACTTCTTTCCACTGATGCACCCCACCCCGCTTTACTGTCAGACCCTCCTCTCCCTGAGTCAATGGTCCTAACAGTAAACTCCTCCTTTAAAATATGTGCAGAATGGGAGTGGTAAAGAGTAGAAGTCCAATTGTATTCAACCTATAAGATGTCTAAGTGGATTTCGGTGCCTAAGTGTGATTTTATTCCATGCTGTTCAAGTTCCTGAAAATTTATTAATGCATCTACTTCTGTAGATAATCTGATAAAAAAGGAGCGGGAGGACTCCTCCTTTTGCATTAATGATTTTTCAGGGACTCTACCAGGGTGGAATAGAAATACACTTAGGCACCTAAGTCCACTTATAGACCTCATACATGGAATAGAATATGGTGTAGTAGACTTAAGGCTAAAAGGTGACAGTGGAGAGCTGGGCTCTACATGGACATAGATGCACCTACTACATCTCCCATCAGGGGTTGCAATACCAAACACTGATGTGGACTGAAGTCAAATTTATTCACTCAAAATTCACCATGATTCAGTTTAATGAACCTAGATATTCTGCTTTGGGTTGAACTATTTTGTATAGATTTGTCCTGACCCAAAATCAGTCTTTTTGGCAAAAGTAAAACTTACTACGTTTCAATACTGCAGTAACTACATTTTCACTGAAAAACTTAACTTTGGATATTCCAGGCCATACTAACTGCTTACCTACATTAGTGAAAGGTTCACAATCTAGCCTTGCAAAAGCAAGAACAATGAAGTGAACTCAGTTTATAGTCACCAAAAATGTTCTTCAGTGATTTAACCCAGGCCCAGCTAAAGGTACTTACAAAACTCAGGGGCTTTAATTGACTACTTTATGATTTTGTGAGGTATCCAAGGCTTTGACTGAGAATATTGGAGAAACAGTGAGGGTGGCCAGTGGGACTGAAACTTCCAGTAACTAATTATTTTCCGTGAAGTTTCCCTCATGGCATCATTATGTGCTTCATTAAAGGAAAACAAGTGTGAATCTCCTTGAGAGCATGAGGAAAACTGGTGGGTCAGAAATATTAAATGATTAAAATAATGATGGTTTTTCCTTGGCTGGTACTTTGTCTTTCCTGGAGGAGTTCAGATCAATCACGTCTGAGGCCCAGCCACCACAATGGCCAGGCAGAGCACCACACTCTGTCAGTGTGGGTCACATACATTGCAGGCCAAGATACTTTTTGCCATTGCTGCATGTTAACATGCCATTGGTCATTTGGGACTGACTTTGTGTTTTTTTCCTAAGCTTTCTTTCTGTGTTATGTACTCACAGCTATGCATAGTTCTGCAACATAAATACTCGCATGCATCCAGTGTTGTACTGGGGAGCTGTCTGTTAGCCTTTGATTACAGGTTACAGTATAGGATATGTCAAGCTAGGAGGTGGGTCAGAAACATGATGGCCACATTGCACATTATCAAGCCAATGGTAGGATTTTTCATGGTTTGCTCTGAAGGCCCACTCAGCTGTAGTTTTGGTATTTGTTGGTGTTGAAATCTCATAAACTATTTGGTTCAACCTGTGGCCATTTTGGGAAATCAGCCATGAGTCTGACATATTGACTGTATTCATTCTTATGAGATTTTGGCTACATCATAGTAGATTTGATATATGGGACCTTCCAGCCCAGAACACAGGAACCAGCCAATGTTGTATATCAAAATTCTCCTGAAATTTATAACCTTGGTTCTGAAATGTTTGCTTTGGCCCATTTCTAGTGTAAAACCATAATTATGCTTGTACAATCAACCCTGGCTGTTATATTTCCTGATTTCTCAGAGTGCTTAGTTATGCAACCTCTTTGTTGCACTGAGATAATTCTTCTAATATAATGATTTGTATCACTTTCCATCTGAGGAACAATTTATTTAGTCTTAAAAACACATTTGGGTGTGGAATTATATTATCCACACTTACAGATGGAGAGACTGTAGCTCAGAGATGTAACATGTGACTTGCCAGAATCATTTACAGAACTAGGAGAAGAACAGAGGATGCAGACAAAAATGCAGCTCCCTGGTCTAACTTGTGGTGCTTCACAGAAAGTGCCATGAGTTAGACTGACACTCCCAACCCAACATGTTAGCTGTTGGGTTGGGATGATGGGGGATTGAGCTCCTAATTGAAGCTGATCCAGAGAGAGAGACTGCCTATCTGCAGCTTCTTCCCCTAATCCTGCCCCCCTCCCATTTCTGGTGCTGTCTCAACATGGGAGGGGGAGAAGGAGGTCCATTTTGGGGTTTGCCAGTCATGCTGGAGTGGAAGGGAGGAGGTGGATTTGAGTCCCACACCATGAGGTGGGGTGAGGGGACTCCAATCAACCTGCTCCCCTCCTCCAGGGCAGCCAAAATGGACCTCCCTCCCATGCCTTCTCCCCCTTCTATCCTGAGACATCATTGAGAATGAGGCTGGGCTGCTTCAGCCCAGCTGCCAGAGCAGACAGAAGTTAATGAAGGCACTTGACTTTGTAGCACCTTCATTTGAACCCTCATATAAGTAGTGTTAGTTGTTGTGCAATCGGAGCACTCAACAGCCATGCACTTCTGTTTGGGAACAGCTGTAGTGTGCTTTCAAGGGGCCGATCACATGACAAATGTAATTTCTGTGTGCATGTAGAGACTTCCTAACTCTTAAACTTGTATTTCAGGCAGTGGGTTAAAACACTTCTGAGCAATATCAGAAAGGCTTTAGCAAATCTATTTGCATATAGTACAGCATGTCTATATCATTTTTGCCTCTTTCCCACTGTTGCCCTCACTAATTCACATGCAAATACAGTATTTGGTGTTTCAATGTGTTTTTTTTTTTTTATATGGTTCTTTCCACACACTCAAAGTTGGAAAAAAAATCTGTGACTGGCACCCATTCAGAGTCCTGTGAAGAAGTACTTAAAGAAATGCCAGCTATGTTACCGACCTCAGACAATTTTTATTTTTTATCCTCAGATATTCCTTTAAGCCACTTGAATCCTACCCAAAGTGGACAGAAAACAGCAGAATATGTTGAGGGCTCTCCATCAACTTACAACAACAAATACCTCACCATCCCTCAAAATCGGCCCTCTGGGCATTGTGACAGTATCAGTAGGGCTGCTGAGCCATCTGGCTGCACAGAGACTTATGACAATGCTGTAAGTAGGATTATTATAATTGTTGACTTATTCCATTAGTACTGTTGACAAGGAGGGATAGCCATGAGGGTGGGAAGAGGGGTTGGGGGAGAGAACAGCATTACGTTTCTTTTGCCTATTAGTGAGAAAAGTGACCCAAGTGACCATATGTAAAATGTCACCACTTTCCTCAACAGTTCAGGTTCCTTGGGATAATTCTGAAATAGTGACTGTATTCAGGTTTGAGTCCAGCTTGGGCTGCTCCATAATTTTTTGTTCTGGTGAGAAGAAAAGAAAATCTGCCTTGACTCTCAGAGCCTGGGATAAGTTTGCAGGGCTTGTAATTAGAACTCAAAGCCCCATGATCAGTTTACCTTGTAACCCTGGAAGATGTTCTGGAACCAACAAAATGCAGAACCCAAGATGCCGCTTTAGAGTCAATTCCCTGAATAAAATAGGACCTTACATTATACATAGCACACACTAAGCACTGATTTTTTTTTTTTTTAGAACACAAGAACAAAGGGTTGAGAAGAGGAGAGAGTATATTGAAGATACAACATGTAACCCCTACAGTTCTCTCTGTTAAAAATTTGGAAAACTGTATTTTATTATTAACAATTATCATTTATTTTATTTTCATCTCTTACAATATGCAGTATCTCCCGCTGCAAAAAGCTGCTGCATAATCAGGAAAGCATTGCAAAAGAAAAACTCCTCATTAAAGTCCATGGGAATTTTAACTTGGCTTCAGTTTAAAAAAAAAAAAAAAAAAAAAAAAAAAGGATTAAGCTGTAATGGGACAAAAGCTTCACTGCCTTGTGGGACCTGAGAGAGAGGGAGACTGAGAGAAATAGGCATCTTTGCAATCTGTTCATTTCCTTTCTCTGTGTGGTTGCAGCAACATCCTCCCTTGGAGGTTGCTATGGCAGCTTCTCAGGTAGCAGCTGCTGAGATGAGGCACTTGGGTACCTACAGGCGATAAACAGGAAAACACCCTGAACAACTTCTCATGTTCTCAGACCTGTCTCATTCCATTTCCTTGGGGTTTTATGTGCATCTCACTTCCACAAATAAAGGAGAAGCAGGAGGATAATGCTGGGAGATTATCTTCTGTAGAGCTTGCTAGTGGATTTCCCTGGATTGCTGCTGGTGCCAGCAACCAGGTGGTGGTGACATCTTTCCCCGTGGAGTGTGTTGTGTGAAGCTCTGTGGAAGAGAGTTTAGGAGCCTGAGGTCTGGGGTTTGCACCATGTCAGGGATGGAACCAGAGAATCTGCATGGACTGCCTGTGAGTACAGTATGTCCGTGACTTAAATGAGGAAAGGGGAACATTTTGATTCTTGGTCAGTTTAGGGTGTGAGTGTAAGTTTAATTGTATGTCAGAGCAAAGCGTTTAAGGTGTGTGTGTGAAGCATCCAGAGGAGTCACATGGGGGACCATCTGATCTGTGCAGAGTGGGATGATATATGGAGGGAGAAGGGTATATGCAGCAACATGGAGAATGGGTGTAGCTAATTGAGAAGCCAGGAGATGAAGCACAGTAGTGATGAGAGGTGAACACAGGAGCTATTAGGACCCTGCAGAAAAGCATACAGGGGATGAAGCATGTCAACAAGCACTGTGTTATCCATAGAAATAGCTACAAAAGAAATTCACATGAAAGCCTTGGGGTAAGGTTGCTAGATGGCACAGTTTGCCAAAAGCAAGTTGTTGTTACTTTAATTCAACACGCTTCACTCATTAGTCCCCTTCCCTTTCTCATACATCTCTTTCTACAAGCTGCCCATCTCCACACTGATCTCAAACAATCAACAAGAAGATTTAACACCTTGACTACATTTGCTTGTATATGTGTTCATTAATTTGTATGGTTAATGGGGGCTTGCTTCACGTTTCATAAATTACACTGTACATAGTCATGGCCTGTCCTAGGGTGTGTGGAAGTGAGTGTGGTGTTAGATAGGCTTTTCAGAAAATTTGGGAAACTTACAAGTGCCCTGTTTTAGTGATTGTCTTAAAACAGGGATTAGAGTTTTGCACAGAAATTGCAGAATTGAAATGTGCATTGATGTACTTTGATGATGGCCAGAGCAGAGGGTACATGGTTACAGGTTGTGTTCGGGATAAAGACATCTCGGCTGTGGGTCATGGAAGAAAATTATTTTTAGCTCATTTCAAGCAACTTATTAGAGAAAAGGTGCTCACAAGTGGAGTGTGGATATGGTGCAGAATGACTCCCTTTTCATTACCTTTCTATGATGTGTAGAAGTGCATTGCTCAGTCTAGCAGTCTCAAATTTATAATAAATATTAAAATGTATTCATGCTGATAATTGTTACATCTTGATAGCCATCCAGGCACTACATATTATTCTCTCAAGTCTTCACAGCCCAGGCTTGGTGTCTCCCAAACTCTCTTCCCTTCAGACAGCCCTACTGCTCCTCCTAACACCTTGCAAGTCCTCCTCCGTGCCCCAGATCATGGTACTGTTTCTTTCTTTTCCTCCATTCAGAACACAAGTTGCCCTGAACTCCCTCTACCACAGCACAGCCTGGCTCACAACATGTACCCCACCATGTCTCCAATCCACATTGTGCACCTTACTATCCTACCCATTCATATCTAGAATGCGGATACAGATTGGTGAATTAAGTATGTCTGTACAGGCCCCAAAGAGAGAATCATTGTTTTCCATGCATGTGAGTGAGGTAGATAGGTAAGTAGTGCCTGTTATTTTTTTATAGACACCAGAACGTATTGGAAAGTGCTGGCCTGAGTCGTACTTCTTTGCAGGCAAAGCTGATCTTCCACATGATTTAATCTGGGCTCCTTCTGCTTACACAGATCCCCAGTTAATCCCCAGCATTTACTTCAGACAGCTAATGCTTTCTTGGGCTCATACACTGCAAGGCCCTGAGCCTGGTTATATGCTGCAAGCCTGGTTTTGGACGTTTTCTTCATCTGAGATTTTTCCCTTTTGCTTTCAGATTATTAACAACTACCTGGACAGACCTCACGTGAGGACTGTGGATGGAGCATCCCCAAGTGTAATGCATTTCAGGGACAGCAAGAGGAAAGTAGACTATGTTTTGGCCTATCACTACCGAAAACGCACCTCTCACCACCATCCATCTGGTGGCTCTCTCGGTGGCTTGCACAGACCTGCCAATTTGGCTGTTGTTTCTAATGGGGAGACAGGAAAAAGCCACGGTGAAGAGCAGCCACAGCAAAATCACGACCAGAATATGCCCCAGCAGCAGCCAGATCAGGCAGGTGCTCATGTGATTGAGCTGAGCCCCCTGGATACCCTGGAGGCAGAGAAACAAGAGCAGAGGGAGGAGTATGAGCGCAACCTCATGGAAGCTGGGCTGGAAATAGAGAAAGACATTGAGGTAAGAGGGCAAGGAGCATTCCCCCAGTGTAGCACTGGGCTTCTCACTGGCAAGATGTTGCCTGAATTCAGTACAGAAAGTAAATATGGAGAGGCTCCTAATGTCGGGGGGAAAGCACTGGTGAACAGCCCAGGGCAGCCTGGACTCTGCTTTCTTGCCACTGGCTTTCCTTCACAAAACTCTCTTGCCCAGACCAGAGTGAACTGTTGTGATTTGAGGTTTCAAGGAAAAGGTCATCCCGTGCTTCAAATGCAGCTTAGAGGCATTGTTGTCCTTTCACTGTGAAGGCATGACCCAAAGCCTACAGAAAACCCATCTTTCATTGCTTTCAACTGGTTTGACTATGCTGAAGTTATCACTGACCTACACTGGTGCTAAGTGAGAGCAGAAACAGGGCCTGCAACGTATTCATTAGGAATAAAAAAGCACATGGTACTACCCCCATCCCTTCTTTTCCCAACATTTCTTGTTCACTGGCCATGTTTTTAAAATATACATTGTGTCCACCTCTAGCCTAGTCCTAAAGATAACAAATTGCTGTTGTTACCAGCTAATGAGTTTCTCCCTGAAATCTGTAATCTGTGCTTTAACACTGACAATACCTAGTTTATAGTCTGCTGGCAGGCCTTTGTTGGGGGGTGGGGGGTCAAGCACATGCATATTCAGAAATCTGTTTGAAATATTGAAATAACTTTTAATATTTTGTCTAAACACTTCATTGCTTGGATCTGAATTATTTGCTCACTGTTTATATTTAAAATGCTAAGAGATGAAAAAACATACTAAAAATTTAAGCCACTCATCATTTTTGCCATTTGCTTTGATAAGATGATTCAATTTTGTTTTCTTTTACTAGAAAAAAAATTTTGGTGTCTAAACATTCTTTTTCTTTGTAGTGAATTGTTAATTGTTTTCCCCCCTCATTTGAATATGAAATCATTTCACTTTTAATTTATTTTAACATAATTTTAAAACATATCTCTGTACTTAAGTTTTACATGGAATATACACCGTTGTTAAAATGCCTTTGAGTGTTGAAAGTATATATGGATAAGTTGTGCCTGTGTTTCTGAAACAGAAATATCCTGGGATTGGCAGGTATACACATCACCTTTCTAATCAGGGTTTAGTGAGTGGTTGAGTGTGCTGCTGCTTTTCTGGCATTGATTCAATGATGCAGTCCTGGGATAACTGTCCAGATGCAATTTATGATGTCCCAGAATAAGCTGTTAGTACTTTTTATCCTGTGAACCTTTTTAGGATTTATCCTGGGACAATGGACATGGATGTCTGAACGATTGCACTTTGTCCTGGAATAAAATGGCTTATCCTGGGAAAATGCAATGTCTGTGTGTAACCCTATAGTTGCTATATATCTATATTACAGGCATCTCACAATCTTTAACGTCTCTATGTTCACAACATACCTGTTATCAACCCCAGTTTGCAGATTGAGAGCTGAAGCTAAGGTTATGCCTACATTGCAGAATCAGTGTCCTCAAACATGCTGTCCCTTCTGGCTTTTTTGAGAGCCAGAGATATTCATATTTGCTACAATAAAGTCTGTAGAGGCTTCTCATTTTGGGTGCTTCTAAGCTATGGGTACCTGGCTCTAGAAACCAGAGGCCTTGTTTTTGTAAGTGGTTAAATCCTGTGGTTCTTATTTATTTCAGTGCAGCTGCTTAGTATTTCTGAAAAGTGAGCCCAAAATACCAACCACCTCTGGAAATATGGGCTTAAATGACTTGCTGGGTTTCACATATCAAGTCAATGGCAGGGCTGAAAAACAATTCAGGGTCTTCTGACACTTCTCATGGTTCCCTTTTGTACTGTGTTGCTCGGTTGCAGTTATTTTGGCTGAAGGAACACACTTGGTTGGTACAAAAGTGAATTGGGAAGTGAACTGAAGAAGTTGGAGTTCAGATCCAGATTGGTTTTGTGCTGAGTTTTAGATTGAGGTTTGATAGTAACTGAAACTTCATTAGCTGTATTTCTGTGATCTCATAACAATAACATTTAGAAACTCCATGAGATTAGCTCTTTTTTTTAATAAGGCTTCCTTCAGATTAACCCGTACAGGACTAGAAATCCAAGTAGATTTGTTTTTTTTCATATTATTACCCACTTGAAAATCAGTTGTGAATGTCTCTCTAGTAATATACAGCATGTTGTTTTGAGTAAAATAATTTATGGAGAAATTTGTTTGTTGGCAGTGCTGCTGCTAATTTTTCACCAAGGTTGTGTTAATGGTGTAGGAGGGGGAGGGAAACAACCCTTTTTAATGGAATAAAAGTTTTCTGAGGAAAATTTATTCAATGATGTATTTGCAATGGCAGGAGGGCAGGGTGGCACCTTAGAGACTAACTTGTTCAGAGAGGCATAGGCCTTATTTTTGTTTTTGAAGATTGATGAGAATGGTTTCTATTTCTTTCTAAAACTTGAATATCTCAGGGGAATGCTTTCATTTTTTCTCTCATTTTTCTAGCAGATAGGGGGATGAGGGGGGATGGAAATAGCAGGTTGAGGTGAGAATGGTATAGGTAAGAAGATGTCAAGTGGCACCAAAGCAAAGAGCACTGTGTGGCGCATTTCACTTCCCTACTAGTTGAGGGGTCCATGCAGGATCTGTGCTTTTTCTCTCCTCCCCTGGCTGAGAAGAATCTGGGGGGAATATAATATTCTTTTTTTTTTTTTCAGCCCACAGGTTTATTTTCCTTTTCACAAGATCCTTCTTCAAAACTGTAGAGGCTGCCATGTTGTTATTATTTTGCAGCATTTCATAAGGAGAGGTTCTCTCCATCGATATCCGGGAATGTCTCCTTGCCAAAAAGAAGGCTTACTCCCAATGGAAAGGAGGGGTCATCACTAAGGAGGACTATTCAGCAGTTGCTCGGGGATGTAGGGGGATGGTTAGGAAGGCCAAGGCAGAG